GATTCTCTTAGTTCCGGAGAAGAGAAAAGAAGGATTTTCAATGACTCAATGAATTATTGGGCTGTTGCCCAATAATTTGGCAAGTCATTGTCTTGCAGAGAAGGCATTGTCATAGGATGAGACGAGGAGTGCCTCACTGCAGAAATGAATGGTGAAATGAATGCCCCTGTCTTGAGCAGCTCCGGAATTGAGGTTTCACTTTCCTCCTTTGAGACATCACAGGGTACCAGCTTGAAACGGAGCCATCGATTAATAGCTTCAGCATCGAACTGAATACACAAAGATTTCAACAATCTTTGTGTATTCAGTTCAATGGAAATTGTATTTTTAGATCATTTATAGAAATAGACTCTTTAGGAATCCAGGAAATGGTTCCTCTTATTCCATCTCCTGCCTCAAAGAGTAAGAAAGTAAAACAACCCTCATAACTCTTGTCACATGTTGCAGTGGCTAAGAAGGTAGGTAAGAAGAAGAAAGTGTTTTTTAGCTTTGGAACACTATTATTGGTTTGCTCAGTCTTCACTCACATCCCACCGTTAATATTTGAGAATCTAAGTGGAGCTACAATACATCCGCTGCTCGATCTATATCTGTTTTTATGTGAACAGTGAACATACTCCCACTGTTCTATTAAGGTCACATTGGTGTGATTTATCGCTGCCATTTGGGGGTTTCAGCACAGTCCTCTAATGTTCTTGCCTTATTCTCAGCAAGGTTTATGTGCTATCTGTATCCAGTAGCCTTGAAACGATTGATCCTCCTTTAAGTGAGGTTTCATCTTTTCACAGCTGGAACGTCCTGTCATGCTTTAGCCCCCCCAGGATCTTAGTTTCCACAATCCATCATCAAAAGCATAATCTCCACAAACACATTTCAATCTTTAGGTATAGCTACGTGGATATTCAACTCTCGCATGACTGATTCTCGACTAAGGATTTCATCAGTAGAAAACTATGCAAATTCTCTGGCCAGAATCATTTCAGTGTATAATATTACCTCAGTTAATGGTATAATAAGAGAATCATCTCCCCCATTAACCCAAACTTTGATGACAGATGTTTTTTCTCTATCTATGAAACATTACCTCCTCAGCAGTCTTGTAACTAGTATTTAAGGCAGTGGAGCACAGGATTAATGGGATATGCTCTGGGCTCAAATGTACTTTTAGCCAGTGGCTGACAAACTCAAGATTTACTCAGACCTCCTATATTTGGATGTTTTGTCTTTTTCCTCTGCTTTCCTTTCCTCCTATCTTCTCTTTCCTCATCGGTTTTTCCCTGAGCTCCATCTCCCACCCTTTTTCTATGTTTCCTCTCGGTATATGCAGGTATACAAATAATTAGTAATGACAAGAATGAATAATCTTAAGTTATTTTTCAGTGACAGTTTGCATGTTTCTGGTGCTTTGCTCTGTAACAACAGTCCAACTACCATATAACACATTTACATAGGTGCAGTTACAATCTGTTGTGGGAAATATGCCCCTCCTGGTGTGTGAGAGAAGCTAAAGCATGTTATATGTATAGTCTGTAGGTTGCTATATAGTACTCACCGAAAGGAAAGAGATCTGGGATAAGAGCTAAGCTAACCCAGCTTGGACCTAAGAGAGCATTGAGTCATGATTTTTCACCCCCTTTCTAAGCTTTCATGCTAATGTATCATGTTTGCTGTCAATGTAATGCTGAAAAGAACACTTGTATTCATACCAGATTAACATGCAAGAACTGGATCTGCACATCACATCAACAGCATTAACACTACAATAATCAAGGATACAACACATTAACACGAAATTTAAAATCAGGAGAGTAAACAGTGCAGTTAAAATGCCTTTTCTCAACCTGATGCATCACAGCACGTGAAGAACTCTGTCCAAGTCCACCCAAGAGAAGCCTACTCCTGCTGAAGTGCCCCATGTTGAGTCTGTGCACAAGGCTAAAGTAAAGTCTGTTTGTGCCACAGCTGTGGCTTTATCTGTGAAGTGCCAACTTGGCACGCCACTCTGAAGAAATCCCATCCCCTCCCCATCAGCAGCCTCTCCAGGGACCGTCTGGATGTATGTTGCGCTGCCAGACTGCTGGGCACACGCTATCAATGCTAGTCTATATACAATACATCTTATTATTCTAAGAAAAGGGGAAAAGAAGAAAAGTAAACAACATTGCAAGTAAAGCGATTAAGGACACAATTAATGAGATGGTGTCTAACTTTGAAAGCCACAAACTGATTAGTAAAAGCAGTAAATACAGGCAAGTATGCTTTAATTAAATTCAGAGGCAAAATACTTTTAAAGGAGGTCAAACTCTGTTTGTCTTAAAGAATTGAAATAGAAAATTTTTTGCCACTGGAGGCACAGAAAAGGCCTTAAATACTGTACAATATTAAAATCAGCTCCTGTTAATAGTGATAGTTGACTTTGTCCACATGTTGCCGAAGCAGAACATCAGTATTCGTGTGGAGTCTCTGTCCACTACATGTCCGCTCCAATATTGGTTCTCTTAGCTTTGTTTTGCTTCACTGTGTTCACCAGCTTGTACCATACTGTGGGTTTATAAGTGATGATGCTAGTTCACTCCAATAACGGCTGGCCCTTAATTCTCAAATTAATACTTGTACTAATGTAAAAAAAAGCTGTGGTTGTGACTTTAAACCAAGCCGGTGTCTTTGATCATTATCCCATAATCTGAAAGAAAACAAATGTTGTTTCTGTGTTCCTTCTCTCTATCTCCTGGGCACCTGTGTCAGCTGATTGCACCAGGAGCCACAAATTCACACCTGCTCTCTGCAGCTTGCTATCGCATTTTCTGTCCACTTCACTGCTCTTGCAGGACTAAGAATAGAGGCTGATGAATGAAACTTGTGTGTGCATGTACACAGTCTTTGATCACTACGAGTGTTACTGGAGTTTTTTTGCTTTCATCTTTCCTGATATCCGCTGCACCTAACTGCTAATTCAACCACTTTAGAAGAAAACATTATGTGTGTTCTCCATGCTGCTAGTGTAAAGTGTTTAGTTTTTTTGCCAGTAAAGTGGCCCTTTGAGCCAAGGAAATATCTGACTGAAAGGTGAATGATGATAACGACATGAATAGGGAAATCAAATTTTAAAACAGCTGATTTCCAGCTATTGTTGCTATTTTTGATCAAGAACACAAAAGCTCCCAAAAAATTAATCACACAAGTGAGTTTATTTCTGTCTCTTTTCATCAGTGTCAAGCATTTATTGTGCGTCCATATCTCTCTGCCTCTGTGCACTGCTCGCAATTGTTTGAACTACAATAACAACAAACAAATTTCATGCTGTATTAAGGAAACTAATTACGGAACCTCAGTCATTCCGGTAAAAGGCAGGGACAACTCTAGCTATTCATAGCCTTCCTCTTCTCAGCTCACAGCAATGAACTGGCACTCCCTATGGAGGCTGTGCAATTTGAGATCAGTCTAATGCTTCCCACCACAGCACTGGGACTACACAGTAAAGAGGATGAGAAGCCTTACAAAGGGACCATTGACTTTTTTCCTCAAGGTCAAAGCAATTGGTTTTCACTGAAACAGATAAAGTACGCACGCCTCGGAAAATATTTTGTCATCCTTTATGTCGGACACTGAGGAGATTAGGCTGATTCTTAATTTATCATAGTTAAGATTAGCTGGAGACCTCATTTGGGCAATGAGAAGACCTTCTTAAAGCCACATTAGACACACACTCACTCTAAGTCTTATGTGAGTGTCTGTGTGTGCAACATCGAATAGCTTATCTGCATTTTGCTGCCTTGCAACCTTACATGCAAGCAGCAATGCACAGAAACTAAAGCTCAAGAGAGCGGATGGTAACAGATTAGTTCTGTAGCTTGTAAGGCTGAGCAGTGTGATGAAATAATTATGTCGTTGTGATAGATTTGAAAGATATTAGTCATGATTTTATTAAAAACTTTTGTTTAGTTTTCATGGTAAAAATGATGATAGTGTGGTGGACAATATAAGAGCCTGATTCACCAAAGTTTGTTCGGTATGAGTTTGGCATATTTGTGAGGTTATGGGACTCTCTTGTTGTTTTGTGGCTTTGCTCTTGTGCCTTTAAGAAGCTGTGGCGTCACTTTGGTAATGGCATCGCCTTGAGGTGATGAAATGGAGGTTGTGATGATGCCATTTTGTCTGTGGCGAGTTGTTATTGAATGGCCACAGAGGTGTGCGGCCAAAATGAGAAACTACTCTCTGGTTCATCCCAGTGACATCACAATTCTTTATTTATAATATCATTTGCGTTTAATTTGTTGTTGTACATTTTTACATTGAAATTTCAGAGCCTGCATTCTGGAAATTGCACCTGTCCCTATTGAGTTTTTTAAAATATTTTGATTAGTTGCACAGCCCTTGTCACTGGAGCAGGATTCTTGTCTGCGTTGCTGCGTCTGTGACTGCTGCATTAGAAGGTGAAGCTGTCTCATTGTAGATAAAGCTCTGGTGTTTGTCCTTCAGTTTCACATATAATGTGAGATATCACTGAAACAAACTGTGTTTATTCAGTTGGTTTTCCATCAAAAATATTTTAATGCATTCCAGCAACACAGCAGATTTTGAAGATGAATAAAATCTTTCAATTTCAAAACTTGTAAACTCCACAAACCTTAAGGACATTTGTTGGACAATATTCTAGTAGATTTATTTATTAAGTATTTGACAGACTTCACTATATTTATGGGCCTTGTTATTCAGTTCTTGAGGCTACTCTGTCCTTTCATCCGGATGTGAGTCAGATCCAGTGCTGCTGTGTGATCGGAAGCCAAAAACAATCACTTAGACTGTCTTGTCTGTTTGCTACTGAGCAGCACAAGTGTCTCCACAGCAAATGCTGAATGTCCATTATTAAGATTTGAAGGAAAGAAAAGAATATAATGGAGTTTATTGACACTTTTATACAGAAGTTAACTGTCTTCAGAGCCTGAAGACAAAATCAAACACATTTTAATCGTTTGTGTTCTGTCTTTTTTGTTTTGCAGAATGCCAAGCCCTTCTCCTCCTCAGACAGCCTAGCGAAGGTCCAGGAGGTAGCAAGCTGGCTTTTGGAAATGAACCAGGATCTGCTGTCGGGGGGCAGCAGCAGCAGGCGGAGTCGGGGGCCGGGGGGTCCGGCAGTGCGAGGTAACGCCTCCTCCACAGCCCGGGCGCCCCAGCAGGCGGCAGAGGAGGGCGATGAAGATGAGCACATGAACCGGGTAGTAGAGGGGGAAGATCAGCTGCAGCAGAGGGTAAGTTCCACTAATATCCAAGAAGTCACGTATATAATGATGATTTAGAGACATATGAAATATTAGGTTGTAAGTAAGTGATATAATTGTGGAAATGTCCTGAAAGTGTAAAAAGATTTTTCATCCGGCATTTTTCTTCACAGCCTGATGCATCACAGGTTGACGGTGGAAGAGAACAACCATGGGTGCCCAGCGAATCAGGAGCCAGCAACGGCCCTCGCGGAGAAGAGGAAGGGGAAGATGGCGAGGATGGCCCGCCAAACGAAGTAAACGGTAGGGAGAAAGGTGCCCGATGGATGTGGGAGTCGGAGCAGAGGCGGCTGCGAGGTCAACCGCTTGGTGAAGAGGACGAGGAGGAGGAGGAAGAGGAGGAGAACAACAACAGCGGTAGCCACCAGGAGGAGGAGGAGGAGAGGACAGAGGGAGGGGAGCAGCAGCAGCAGGGAGGGGAGGAAGAGGAGAGGGAAGAGGGCGAGGAGGAAGAGGAGGAGGATGAGGACGAGGAAGAGATGGACCAAGACAGTGATGACTTTGAACATTCTGCAGAGAGCGGGAGAGAAGAGGAGGAGGAGGAGGAAGGAGAAGGGGAGGAAGGGCTGAGGTCGCCCTCTCTCAGGAACAATGTGTCTGCCCCCAATAACAACCTGGACTCTGGTTGTACACACCAAAGCTCTTCCAACAAGAAGGTAAGAAGCAGTTTGAACTTTTTCATTTGGATTTCATGAGTGTACCCCACCTGTGCATTATCCAGCATAGCAGGGATAATGTTTCTGTTGTAAAAAACATGTCTCCTCCTTTATTTGGTTGGAATTCTGAGAGGAGGGTCATCACAAAACATGGACATGTAATACCAAACCCAATTTCATGCCTAGATGCCACTAAACATGTGTGCAAATTGTCAATATGGATGAACTGACCCTCTGCAGCAAGTGCAGCAGTTACTCACAGGCAGTATATGATAATTATCAACTCACCCCATGTAAAAACTTCCCCTCACTCTACTGCACTGGGACTTAATGGTTTATGTTTAAAACAATAGCTCCCCCTTTTGACATAACTGTGTCACTGCACTGCCCAATCATGCAGTTTCCACAACAAGCCCTGACTATGTCTTCAAATACAAGTCTTCAACAAACACTTGCCACATTTCCATACTCTCATGGGTCACAAAAATATGGTTTTGAAGTTCTGAAAACTTCAGAACTATGTGAACAAAGTATATTTCTGTACAAGTAACACTTTGGTTGTGTATCTAAGTCTATAAACGTAAGCAGAAAAAGTGAGACCGCCAGGTAACAAAGGTCTATCTGTTCATTAGCTTTTTTATTATTGTTTGAAAATGCTTATTCCATTAATTGTTTTGTTGGAAGTTTGACACGACAACTTCATCAGGTGAAGGTTTCGAATTCTCAACTGCTGAGGTATATAGACAAAATCTTCAAAATGGTGACAGTTTGCTTCCAAAGTATTTCATTGTCTATTTTATCTTAAATGTGGTCGTCACCGGCAGACATTATATGCATCAGCTAGTGTTAAACATTCCTTTAACTTATTCATTTATAGCTTCTAACTCTGTCATATTTTAGCAAAATATACTGCTACATATAGCAGCTAAAGTGTTTGTGTGAGTGACAGATGCTTGAGTGATCGGAGTCATGTCGGAATGGGAACGCCTTCACCTGAGGGCATCTGTACATAAAAATGCGTCTATTAGCCCACAGTCACAATTACATGAATCACATTATTAAATTCATTCTACTGTCTTGTACCTGTGGCGATGGAATGTTTTTTAATTTAGATGGTTTCGAGAATGTTCTTTGGACTTTGGAAATAACTTTTTAAATGTTAAAACAGGTACTTTCCAATGTAACTCTAATGTGGACCATGGAGGACATAAGCAGTTATAGATAGTAATGACTAAAGCTGTCATAGAATTGTTGTTGGTAGTAAACTGCCCCCTTTACACCCTCTGCCAACTGAGGGAATTCTTATTATGTCCCTCGTAACTATCACAGTTGTTTCCTGTATTATGTGACATACCTGTGATGTTATGTGTGTCGGAGCCTTTGATTCAGATATCGGCCTTGGTTATGTTGGCCTAAATATAGCAGATAGTGTGAATTTGCTCCTGCGTGTCTGTCACCATCTGACACAGCTGTCAGAAAAGGCTGTCGGGGTCTTGGTCAGTGGGTCAGCTGGCTTCCATGTTGAATGTACACCTTTTGTTCAGTATGCTTGGAATTAGGAGTGGTGCTGAAACAGTTGATTTACATTTATTATCAACGTCAAGGATGTTTGATGTTGTCAGAATTACCCAAAAACAACCAATTACGCTAAAACAACCAAACAGATTTCCAAGAAACTTCCTGGAAGGATGACAGAAAGAACCAATTATATTTTCTCATGGATACAGACAAAAGGGAGGATCCATTTTTTTTATCCCTTTCCCTTAATAAAGTGTATTCCATAACACATGGAATACTGATATCTGTTAGTGTGGTTTCATAAGGGGACTGTTGTGCCTTAGTAGACTGGCAATTCCATTACACAATACTTCACCTGGCATTTTATTGGCATTGGGAATTATGACAAACTTCTGCAAAATCTGAGCAGAGAAGAAAACATCTGAGACCACAGGAGAAATCTGAGAGAAGATGTCTCTTGCGCGCAGAAGCAGTGTGAGCGCAATGAGAAGAACTGAATCGGGAGTGCAGGAAATCAAAGCACAAGCAGGGTACCTTTGAGAGAAGGCGCAGGGTTTTGAGTGAGAGCATTCCAAAATCGGAATGTGAAATCAATGTAGTAGTGGTCGATGGTAGTTCATCCCCAGATAAGTTGCACGTATAAAGATCCTGTGTATGTTCTTGGAAAGTACATTCAGTGCTGTGAATGATGATGTGACAGCTGCCGCATGCATGTGTCAAACAAGATGCAACAGTTAAGTAGAGGACCCATGTTGGTTATGTTCATGTGGTATGTTCAAGTATTATATGCATACATCATTCTGTGTGTAACAGAATAAGAAAACAAAGCAGTTTTGCAGTTTTGCAGTTTGCAAAACTGCAAAAAAGAAACTAAAATGTGTTGTTCATTTTTCTGTACATGTCTTTGCATGTTTCAGATGAGGACAGATTGAGTTCCCAGGCTTCAGGTGAGCTGTAGTCTCATGTTACCAGAATTAGATACTTAATCCCCCCTCGTCTTTTGACCCCACGCCAATGGGGCGATCATGCGGGTCATGCAGATCGTTCCACATTCATGAAACAGTATTTAAGCCACGCTTTAGCATCCTTGCAGGCATAAAGTGATTATTTTTTTGGAGTGGAGTCAAAACTTTATTCAGATTTACATTTAAAGCAGGTGCGCGTCTATTCAAAGGTACTGAAAAGGGTGTGTGTCACTTGATATTTTCAGAATATATGCTGATGGGTTAACATGAGTTTTGTAGCTGTGGGCTAGAGCAGGTGTTGATATCTGTATATTGTGTCATATACATTACTCCCTTGGAAGGCCGATTAATTGACTTGGGCAGATGGCAAATATAATTAAGGTTGTTTAAAGGTACAGTGTGTGACATCGAGTGTTGAAATTTAATGTTGCAGCTGAACACCCCTCCCCTCACCCTCTCCTTCCAAACATGAAAAAGAAACTGTGGTAGCCGTGAGTTGTCATAAAAACTCAAAGGTGTTTAGTTTGTTCAGTCTGGACTGATGTAAAAAACATGGCGGCCTCCGTAGAGAGGACCCCCTCGATGTAAATAAAGTATTTAAATATAAAGGGCCTTTTCTGGGCTTAAGAAAACTACAATTCATACAATTTAGATGAAAGGAACTAGTAAAAACATCATGAGGATTTTTCTACATTATATTTCTTTCAATAGTTCCCTTTCAAATTTCTAAATCTTACACACTGGACCTTTAAAATGAAACATTACAAAGAAAACTACTTACATTCCTTCAGAGATTTGACAATTGAGAAGTGATGTCTACATTAAAATGCCTCACACTCTGATTTGCTGTCCCTGACAAAACATTGGTGAATGTATAGACCATTAAAATGGGAACTCCCAGTAGCTGTGAATGAACAGTGACTACTACTGAGACAACATGTATTGGAAATCCTCTCTTCCAGCTTAGCTTTAAAAACAAAAAAGCGAGCAAGCTTAAGACTGATATCTAAGAAGTTTTATTTGTTGCACTGATATTTGGAACTTGGCAGTTAAGTTCCCACTGTTCTCCATTTCCATAACTCTAAATGTTGCACAGTGAGGAGTGGCAAATGTTCTTTGTGACTGGACAAACTAAACACCTTTTGAGTATTCATAAAAATTTAAGGCTACCACAGGTTTTTTTTGTTTGGAGGGTGAGGGAAAGGTGAGGGGTATTCGGCTGCAACATGCAAATTCACCACTAAATTCTATACATTGAACCTTTAAAATTTAATTGTTGAATTAAACTGTCGCATCTCTTTAAAAATATGTTTGTTTAAGAATAAACATTAACACATTATGCCCATTTTAGGCTCCCTGCAGTGCACTGCTGTCTGCCCATCCTACAATTTATTTTAGCATATCACTTATAGCCAATGACCAAGACACTATTTGATCTTACAGTATTAAATGTCTCATAATGACTCATCAGGGACCTTTGGTGGCAAATGGCTCTGCAGAGCTATGATGAGGCAAAGCAGGAGGGAACGCTGAGGGCAGAGGGCAGTGACCGTGTTAAATTTACACTTGCTGAATAAAACATTGATTTATATGGATCAGAAGGAGATCAAAAATATATTAAGATCATGAGGTGGGTGTCTTGATATGGTGAATACATTTTGTTTTGCTGTAACAAACAAAAACTGTTCCTCTTTTTTCCTCAGACACCATCTGTTAAGCAGACATCTACATTTGAGCATTACTTAATCTCAAATAGAAGTATTTATTTAAATTGGTTATTATCAGCCATAGTTGCTCACATGCCCCTATTCTTTGTCTTTGCCTCAAATTTTGTTGAACACATCTTTATATATGTCAACATGAGAATGTGTTTTACTTTGTGATGAAAGGCAGACACTCATTCTAGTGCTTATGGGTTAAAGGCCTTGCTTGGCATGCAAGTGTTTCCCTGACATGTGTATACTGTACATATGAACCAAACCTCTCCTAAAATATGCTGCTGTATGTGCAGGCTGTACAGAAAATGAGAAATGTTCATTTGTTGCTTTTTGAGATTGGGATGTGCAATAACTCATCAGCCAAATAGTTTTCACTGAAGCAAACTTTGACATTTTGATTAAAACTTTTCTTCAAATACACATTTCTGCTCATCATCACTAATTAAATATCTTTCCAAAGAAAAGGCAGCCTGCATATTGTAGGTGGTGTCTCCCACACACTGGCCTTGTCACACAGGAAGAGATGAGCCACAAAGGATCAGTGTTCTCATCCTCCCACATGAAAGCTACTAGTTGAGTCACTACCAATACACAGTGGACAGTTTGTGTTTTAACAGTAGCCCTCATCATATCTTCATAGACTCAACGCTATACGTATCGTTCATTACTCAGCAGACTTTCAAATTAAGTTTTGTTTCTGTTTCACTCAATCTTAAGAAGGCCATGAGTTGTTCTTTCCTCTTAACTAGTAATAATACATAAAATATACCCCAATAATCATCAGTAAGGCCAAATCAGG